CTAACGGTAGTTACCACACCGTTCACGAGCACAACGGTGTATTTACTACAGACTGCTAGAATGCTCTAACGGACATTTTTGTGTCGTTGGGTAATTACGACCGTTTATTATTAACTTGGAGGTTTTTTTCACATGAGCTGGGGAGTCTCCCTCAGCCCACACCAAGCCTGCCTGTCCTAAACTGCACTGATACAGTGAGATATGTTCTTTTCAAACGCCACTAGACAGCACAGTGTATATGCAGGGTGCAAATACACACAACATTCCTGACTTACCGTCGGGGAGTCGCTGCTCTTCACAGTTTGTTAGAGGGAAAAGTACACAGACTAAAAGCCCCGGGAACAACAGCAAGGACCAAAGTCTCATGGTTGCAAAGTTAAAGCTGCAGTGTCTTCACGGCTCCCGGTTTAAACCGAAGTGCAAACGTTTCCAGTCGGTTCGAGAAAGCGAACTTCGCAGGACTGCGTTAACTCTGCCAGCACCGCCTGCTGCCCCCCTCCTCTCTCTCCCTCTGTGTCTGCCTATGTCTCTCTCCCCCCTCTTCCCTCTCCCACTCTCTCTTCAATTCAACAGTCTGTGATTTACAGAGTTGCAGTGGAAGATTAACGTATTCTTCTGCTGCTTGTACTTATTCTGAAAAAGAGTAGTAAAACAGTAGTAGTTTGAATTGTTCTGTGTAATGTTTGTATCATTCAGATTTCATGTTCAGATTTGAGTTAAACTAGGCTGCATGCATCCGGAACGCCCACTTCCAAAATGGGAAAAAAAAAAGGCTGTTTGAAAGTGATGACCCAGCTGTTCTGTGGACCTGAGCAGTTGCACGTAGCCTGTGCTTCCCATACCAGTGAACCTTTGTGTTTATTAAGTCGTTATAAAATGTCAAAATTCACAAGTATGACTGTAAAATTGAATATCTTATTACAGTAGAAGCCCCCATGGGGCAAATTAGTAAAATGAATGTGGATATATCTCATATAAATTAAATTAGATTAAACATTAGAAATACTCAATGGTGTCGTGCAGGATATACGCAGGTATACAGAGTATACCCACTTATTTAAGTCAGCATTGGGTATAACAACTAATAAATCTGCAATTTCCCAGCTTGGGATCAATAAAGTATATCTATCTATCTACCTACCTATCTATCTAAATCCCTCTGATGCCTATTATTCAGTAGTGTTCTGCGAGTTGAAGTTTGTTTTTTATTGAGGACGGAAAAAGTATGACACAGTTGGAGTTGGAATGAGGAATACTTCACTAAAATGCATGATTATGTTGTCTCACCCATCTGTGAGCCAGTATTCATTGCAATATCTGCACCTCCTCTGTGGCTAATGTTAACTTCATAATGATCCTTACTGAAGTCAAGCAGCAGAAGTTGAGTGACATTGTGCAAAAGCAGTCTTACATGTTACTGTTTATAACATTAAAACCACTGGAAGTACTGTATAATGCAATGCAACACCAGCACAAACTCTTCTCAAATGAGTTACTCTGCTACGTCCTCCAGAAGGAGCGTACAGCTGAATCAACACCGTTCTAAAACAGTTTGAACAAAAACTTAAAAACCTCCACGAAGTGCAGTAGTTTTACCTGTCTGTACCTAATAAACTTTAACCATATGTATTCTTATCTTCTAGCACTGAGAATTGTTAAAAAATGGTTACAGTTTGTAAATGTTCTTGCCCTGATAATATTCAGTAAAATCCATAGAAATAATTTTGACTTAGTATCACAAAGTCATTATTTTGAGATACTAAGTCAATATGTTGGTCTCCAACAATGGGATGTCCTCTACTATTTATTCCCTTTTTACCATAAAGACATAAATAAATGTGATTTTTGTCAACAAAAATCTTGTCCATTCAAGCAATTGTTATATGAAATAGTAAAGTTAACTTAACTTGAACTTATGGTGGTTGCAATTATCTGCTGTGATTGTTTAAATTCCACCATCTACTGCGGTGGTGAGCACAGATAACGTCATGGTGAGACTTCAAACACAACACCCCAGCACCCTCATAATGATCAGTGGGCATTCCAGTCATGTCTTCCTCTCTTCCACCCTGACAAACTTACAACAAAATAAAATCCTTATATGTAAAGTGGGCATACAGCTCCTCAGACCACAATCTCACACCTTGTAGCCACCTACAGGCCACTGGTGAAGCAACAGGTGGCCAGCACTGGGACTGTAAAGGTTTGGTCTATGGATTGGGAACTGTTCCAGGAGGACTATGGGGCGGCATTGTACCATCCAAACAGGCTTCCCAAACAACAAACCAGGGATTAATAAGGAGATCAAACATCTTCTCAACAGGAAGAAGAGGGCTTTCGTGGCAAGGGATCACGAGGAGCTCTGTGCTGTCCAAAAGAAAAGATAATAATAATTGAAGGCCTTTTCACACTGCACTTTGCCCAGGCTAAGAAAGCTTTCAATGACACAATCCTGGCTCATTCCAAAGCAGGCTAACCCCGATTTTTGCCTAGAGCTTGCTTGCCCTGCAGGGATAGCCCTGAGTTTGTGGGATTATCCCCTGAAAATCAACTAAACACTGGGCTGAAAGGTGCCAGTGTGAAACGGGGCTAAAGCAAACAGAATGTAAACATACATGTAAACATTAGTCATGCATTCCAACTGATCATTAACTCAGGGCTGGTAGACGTAGTGTCAATTGTACAGCCCTAGGGTTAGGTTATCCCTGGGTTAACCATGTGTGCGCTCGTCAGCTTGCAGCAGCCGTCCAGCACCTAGTCAATCTTTCCCTGAGGTGGAGGAAGGCGCTTTAACTATGGAGCCCTCCTGCATTGTTCCAGTGCCAATGAAAGGACGCCCCAGTGCTCTCAATGACTAACAGACCTGTAGCTCATCTCAAGCTCAGGTCCTTCTAACTGATTACCTGGAGCCACTGCAGTTTGCATACCAACCAAACATCAGAATGGAGGATGCCATCCCCTTCCTGACTCACAAGCTCTTTGACTCCTCCAGTGCTTCTGGCTTCCAGCAATGCAACGGTACACTGACGCTGCATCCTGGATCATGGACTACCTCACTTTGGGGTCCAAATCAAGGACTCAGTGTTGTGTTATTGCTATTTGCAATGCAAGGATGTAGAACAACTCATGGCTCTTCACTGCTTGTCCCCCCCCCCCCCCTTTCCTGTCCTCTTTAGCGACTACTGTCAGAATTAAAAGCAATAAAAGCCCCCTCCAAAATATATATATTTATTTTTTATCATGAGAAATAAGTGCTTCAGTAATAAGGGTGAAAAAACAGCAAATTCAAACCAAAAGGTGGCAAAGTTCTAGGGAGCATCTACAAGCGCTGCCATTGCCATGATATTTATTGCCAACAATAAACTGGACTGGTCTCATAACACCAACGCCCTCTTCAGGAAGGGACCAGATCTGTCAGCGTGTGCCACAGGCTCCTGCTGATCTTCTATCAGTCCGTAGTAGCCAGTGCACTGCTCTTTGCTGTGGTGGGGGCATCAGGGCTGGCTTGGCCGGCAGACTCAACAAACTGGTGAGGAAAGCCAGCAGTGTGGTCAGGCAGGAACTTGACAACCTGGAGTCAGTGGCAGAGAGGAGGACGAAGGACAAAATCAAAGCCACCCTGGAAAAAACCTCTCACTCTCTCTACGAAGAGCTGTGGCAGACGGGCAGCTCATTCAGCCACTAAATCCTCCCAAAACAGAGCGCTTCAGGCACTCATTAGTAACCCGCTGCCACCAGACAACAGCACACACACAGTCTGTAGCACTACACAGCACACACAGACCCATTTTCCCACAGCACAATATACTAACAAATGTTATTTTGCTGTACTGTATTATGCTATATCACTACATAGCTATACTATATCTCCATAGCTGCCCCCTCCCTCTAGAACTCTCTCCCCTAACACATCCGAGACTGTACTGATCTGTCTGCGCTCAAATAACTGATCAAAACCCATCTTTTCACAACTGCTTTTAACGTGTGATTAATTGTTGTGTGAAAAGTGCTCTATAAATATAATGTATTATTATTATTATTATTATTATTATTATATTTCACGCTATACTATATCTCATATCCCATACCATATCAATATGTACCATATTATATTATACTTTAATTTTAGTTTAATTTACCTGTTAATTATTGTATCTTATGTTTTCACTATAACCAATATAATTTAATTAAATTAATTAATACGTTTTTAATCCTATATTATTTTACATTATATTTCCTGTAAATGTATTTAACTTTATTAAAGTTGAATTTAAATAAATAAATACATCCCATCGATACACACAGTCACTGGTTTTACGACATTTCCGGTCGCTGCTGTGTCGTTTAGCTTTACGACAGTTGTGACCAACCAGAAGTGTCAACCGCTGGCTACAGAGTTATCCGGAAACACAGCTGATGTTTTTAACCTGAAAGCAGCCAGAAAACCCAATGACCCGAGGCACGACAACTTGACGGCTGCCTTATACTCACCCGTTGAAGGATATGACAATAAGCACGATGCAAGAAACAACGGCACATTTCCGACAGCCTCCGTCCACAACGTAGCTACTTAGCTGAGCTACTGTAGCCGGAAGCTAACAGTGTGTCAGCCTCGTCCTGAGAGTCATGTTCTGAGCGCGAGCACTCTTCCATGTGACACCTTTACACTTTCAGCCTGAGCACCCTGGGTGCAGTGTTCAGACACCGACTCGTAGCTGGGCTTCCACCATCTAAACACGCAATGTGGCTACAGCAGAGACTAAAGGGGCTACCAGGCTTGTTATCAAGCAGCTGGGCGAGAAGACTCCTCATAGGGCTGCTGCTCTTCCTCATCTTCTACTGGTACCTGGGGGCGGAGCGCAGATGGAGGTTCTTCGGCGGCTCGGCCATGCCCGGCGGGGCGGCAGGACAGTGCCTACAGGCGGAAATCCACAGGTGGAACTCTCTCGTAGAGCGAGGAGAGGGGATATACAGCACACCTCAGGAGCAACTAGATACGCCCTTTGTGTCAGGTAACGGCCATATTCTGATTGACATTGACTCCAACAAACTGTGGGTAGCGTCCTCTTCACAGCCCGGCTCGGCTCCGGTCCACCAGACTGAATACTCACCGAGACTGGGCGTCCATCTCGAGGGGAACCGGGCCGAAGCGCAGGCTGCCATGCTGTGGTTCCGGAAAGGAGCCGTGCTGTCAGTCCGCTGTGCCTCAGCAGCCGCTCTGCAGTCAGCCCGGGACTGTGTCACCATCAGAGAGGAGTTCATCGCACACAGGAGCAGACCTAACGTCTATCTCCAGCGGATCCACGTCAACAACCCGTCCGACAGAGCCGCCTCCTTGGACGTTTCCTCTGAAAACCCCTCCTTCGGTAGCAAGTTCTCCACCAGCGTGGAGAAACTGGAGGACAGAGAGATAGTGCTCTTCTCCGGCAGAGTGCCTGTGGAGAATAACCGGATGGTGCTGGTGGTGGTGGTCACCAAGAAGGTGAACAGCAGGTTCCAGGTCTCCGCTAAATCCGAGTACACTGACAACATCCTGTCAGTGGTGTGGACCTCGGAGCCCATCGAGTCCTCCAAGCTGGAGGAGACCTTCAGCACCCTCAGAGACGGAGCCAAAAAGGAGCTGGGGGAGCTGCTGAGGGCCAGCGTGGATGAGCTGGTCATAGATCACCAGCAGGCCTGGATGGACCTCTTCATTTCAGGTGAGCTCAGGTTGTAGCAGGCTCCTCACTAGAGTTCATCCGTTTATGGAAGGGAAACCAGCTGCTGCCTGAAATATGCAGATTGATATACTGATTCCAAAGGCAGTGATATAACGCTGTTGAATCACTTCACACAATGTGAAACAGCTGAGCGCTGTGTCAACTCTGAAGAGGTTTTACTGTAGGTCACATGTTCTGTCAGCAGGTTAGGTGCATATCCTCTGCTCGGAGCTAAATGGAGCCACAAGACATAATACAGTTACATGACACATACCTTACTTTGGTAGTTTTCTGCTTTTCCACAGGGTGCCAGACTCACATTTAACATTAACAAGAAGCCAGAATTCTCAAATGTAAAATGTTTAATCACAAGCAGCCTTATGCACAGCGAATGAACAACATAGTGTCATTTGCTGTGGCAATGTATGCACTATGGAGTTTGAACTCAAGCTGATAAACAAGCTACAAAGCAGCACCAGGCTAGATAAAGTGGCCGGTTAAAACAACATTATTGTGTGGAAACAAACCGCTTCAGCATCACTCCACGTCTCCCAGCTAGCCACTTACTTTGCGGTTTATGTGACAGGCTATTATTTGATGCAGCGTGTTTCAGATAATGGACCATCCCTTGAACTCTGGTTGATCTGTGTGCCCTGTGAATGCCTCATGTCAGTGCCAAACTGGAAGGTCAACTCTCACGTCCTTTTACTTCACTCGCTGCACTCATTGAATGGAAGTCTCCTAACAGACGCTTTCCACAAACTGGGTCCCGGCTGCGTACCATAGGCTACTAATTTTAACTTTATGTAACATGCAGTGCATTTCCTTTCACATGAAACATGGCTGAAATGTAGTTAAAAGCAAAAGCTATGGATTTCTGAGTGGAAATGCTACACACAGAATTCATTTTATAATGTCACAGTAACGGTCTATAACATGATGCAGTAATTGGTCTGTAAAGTCAATTAAAAAATGCTTTAAAATAACCGCACCGTATCTTATCACAGTGGATTATTTTCTTCTTTTATTTCGAACTTCGCACCCCTTTTTTGTAAGAAGTTCTCTCCCCTAAATTCTGAGCTGGTTGGGATGCCTCCCCTGTCTGTATTCACTCGTCTCACATCTTCTCCCTGTTTCTTGTCACGCTCTCGCAGCAGTGGCACCACTAGAGTTACTGCAATCACATGAGAACCAGACATTATCCGCTACATTGCCTGCCGAATATCGAATCTCTGGACCACCACGAAGGGGTGTGAATGTGTATGAATGTGTTAGTTTCTGTTTGATGGACTTTACCGTCACTGAGTGAATGTGTGTGAAAGGGTGATGTGGCACGTAGTGTAAAAGTGCTTTGTGTGGTCGGAAGACTAGAAAGGCGCTATACAAGTACAGGTCCATTTACTATTTACCATTACCTACCTTAAGTGCCATTTCAGGTGTCAGAAGTCAGGTGACGTAGTATAAAGAGCAAGAAAGTCTGCGTATGGAGGTGGCTGTGGATAGATGGATCATTCACATTTTCACCCAGGAGACTGCTGATCGTGTTTTGTTTTAAACCAAAATTTAAAGTTGACTAGGTTTTACTCATTTTCACTCATGTAATGTTCAGAGCAACAAAATTGCCCAGTATGCCGCATCATGTAAATTCAACCTCAAGAATAATATAGCACACACACACACACACACACACACACACACACACACATACAACTTTACTTATTGCTCTTTTGTTTGATATAATTACTTCATTTTAATAATCTAAAGTGCTGACATTTGAAATGCCACTGCACTAATGTAGCCAATAGAACAGCCCGCTGTCAAATGTTTGCAGGAACAAAAAGAGACAGAAAAACCTTGCTAGTGAAAAGTGTGTCAGTAAACGAAACTCACTCAAAAGTTTGTTTTTTTTTTAAATGCCAATGGAAGTTAATAGGCTGTGTTAATATTACGACCTGCAGTGCATCAGGATTGGGGAGGCATAAAACCCAGTGCCCCCCATATCTTGTGCCAGTGGTAGGCTGTAATGCGCTTTTGTGTGAGATGGAGTTCCAACCATATTTCAAACGTATCAAACAGTACCAGGATTTTCTATTTGACCGTAAGAGCCTGAGCTGACCACTCCTCCACTGCAGTCCTCTCAGTTAGAGGCAAATGTTTCTACAGAGTCTGGATGCCACAAGACAGCGGCGTCACTTGGATGAATAACAAAATACCCCTCCACCTCCCCCAACTCAGAGAATTCCAGAGTCCCTGTTTTGTTACACCCCCAACCCATATCAAGGACCTGTCAAAAAATTAGTTCCACCTCGATTCACTCACCCTCCTCCTCTTCCTCCCACCATGTCTGCCTCCTTCCCCTGCTCTGCGCGATAGCCGATCGCTCATGGATAAACACCGCTAATATGTGCCAGTAAGTAATGAGGGGCTGATCGAGCTCCGCCACACCACCAAGAAGTAGTGGAGAGAGAGAAGGAGAAGGTGAGAGAGAAAAAACAAGAGAAGAGTAGAAGGAGTTGGGTGGAGGGGGGGTGACAAGAACCTTGACAGTTAATTATCGGGAGAATATGGCAATCAGAGCAGCAATGAGTGTTTCTTTGCGCCTCTCTGTTATTTGGTCCTTGGGGAAGTGTCGTCGAATTCATTCGACAGACAATCTGCTGAAAGCTGAAGGCCTCTCGGCTCCTCTCTGCTCAGCTGTGTCCATTGCCAAACCATTCTACTCTCTCTGATTTTTCACCTTGAAGGAAATTTCTCTCTTGTTCTCTGCAGTGACGCTTTCACACAGATTTGAGGATTGTTACCACCATTACATACACATTAGGGTTGTGTCTGTGGAAAGGCATATACATATTTATTTTCTGCCACGACTAGCATATTTAAAGAAAAAAGAAAAAGAAATAGAACAGAGTAAATAAAGTAAAGTAAGTAAAGTAAGGAGCAACTAGAGCGATGAAAGGCTTCAAAGGTTTTGAAATCAAGTCAGAATTGTTAAAACATTAAAGATCCCATCCAGAAAGCTTCAGTAGGTAATGTTTAAAAAAATAACATTTGCTGAAACTTTCACTTTATCCTGACAGAAGTACATGAGACAGATAATCTGTGAAAAACAATCTGGTTCCTCTGGCTCCTCCTAGTGCTCCTAATGGCATTTGCAAGAATCCACCCGGCCAGAATGAAAACAACCAATCAGAGGCAAGAAATATAGGAAGACGCTTTAGGTTGGATGCTTCAAATTTATGACTTGGGAATAAGACTTCACAATCAACTATCTTTCTTAGCTCTGATTAGTTGTTGACTTTCAGACACGGTAGATAGCGAAAAGTGTCCTGAGATAACGTTTGTTATGAATTGGCGCCATACAATTACAATTGAATTGAAAGCTTCAGCCAATGTGACAAAAATACTTTTATAAAAAAGTTACCTACTGCTGCTGAAGACAATTATTCAAATAATCTGCTTGGAACAATAATGTGTGTCTGATGTGTTTCATTCTGCAAAAAAAGTACAATACTAGAAGCATTTCTTATATTTCTTCTATCTCATTAAATATTCCGGAAGCTCTGAATGTGCACATGTTGTTAATTTCTAAAGTTTTCCTGTTGGACACACGATATCTCCTAATTTACTATGAAGTCCATTCTCAGTGGATGTGCACTGGTGGCTTCAAGTTTGTACATCACACTGCACAAGTTCCACACTGGACCAGGACTGACTTCTATTTGTGATGTCACAAATCATGCTGGTAGGCTCTGCCCCTTAAAAAATCAGATTTTCAATGAGCACAGAGAAACAAGAAGAGTTTTGACTGGATGGGGCTTTAATTCATACCACTATTAATGATTTTGTTGGACCTTTAAGTTGAACTGGTTAGTAAACAGTTGCTTATCTACACAGCAGTTATAAAGCAACATTAACATTAAATTTGAGACATCTTTGTGTCCACCAGATCATTTTAAGTCAATTATTCACTCTCTTTTAGCTGTTTTTGTGAGGAAAATATTAGCTGCTAAATGCTCCACTATGTTTACCAACAAGTCACTGTGTCTATTTGCTAAGCAGGTATTGTTAATTGAGATTTTTTTTTAATGTCTGCTTTGGCTGCTCGTGACACTATGAGAGTGGTGAGAGTGAAGACAAACTGATGTTGCTGGCTAGACAGCAAAACAATGACCTGAAATTGCTTTTAGGCTCTGTAAAGCCGAGGGGAGCTGCAGATTCAGGGGATACTTTTCCTTAGGGTTAGGGTTACATCACACACGTTGTTATTTTGATTAATTTTATTTGTTTAAGTGTCCTGCACCATTGTCGTGCCCAGCCCATATGGGCTTACAAAACAGTAAACAGCAACATTACCATGGCTACATGACAAATGATAATACACAGTTCCACAAATGACAAAAAGAAAAACATTTCACAAGATTTTCATGAGCAAAATGTCTTATGTTGGATACAGTGCTGTCTGTCTAAATTGCCATGCG